GGGCTGCATACTCCAGGATTGGCCTGACATATGTGGTATACAAAGTTCTGAATGATTCTTTACACAAGTTTCTGATTGCCGTTCGTATGTTGGCCAGCCTGGCATATGCCGCTGATGTTATCCTCTTGATATGGGCTGCAGGGGACAGGTCTGGCGTGATGTCAACCCCCAAGTCTTTTTCTCTCTCTGACTCATGAAGAATTTCATCTCCCAGATGATACCTAGTATCTGGCCTCCTGCTTCCTACGCCTATCTTCATTACATTACATTTGCTTGGGTTAAACTCTAACAACCATTTGATCGACCATTCCTTCAGCTTGTCTAGGTCTTCTTGAAGCCTCCAGCTGTCCTCCTCTGTCTTAATCATTCTCATAATTATGGCATCGTCAGCAAACATTGAGAGAAACGAATCTATACCCTCCGGGAGATCATTTACATATATCAGAAACAAGATAGGACCGAGTACAGAGGCCAGTGGGACTCCACTGGTGACTTCACGCCAATCGGAGGTCTCACCCCTCACCGTAACTCTCTGCTTCCTATTGCTTAGGTACTCTCTTATCCACTGGAGCACCTTACCAGCTACACCTGCCTGTCTCTCCAGCTTATGTACCAGCCTCTTATGCGGTACTGTGTCAAAGGCTTTCCGACACTCCAAGAAAATGCAGTCCGCCCAGCTCTCTCTTTCTTGCTTAATCTTTGTCACCTGGTCGTAGAATTCTATTAAGCCAGTCAGGCCAGATTTACCCTCCCTGAACCCCTGTTGTCGATTTGTCACGAAGTCCCTTCTCTCCAGATGTGATACCAGGTTTTTTCTCACGATCTTGTCCATCACCTTGCATGGTATACAAGTCAAGGACACTGGCCTGTAGTTCAGTGCCTCTTGCCTGTCGCCCTTTTTGTATACTGGGACCACATTCGCCGTCTTCCATATTTCTGGTAGGTCTCCCGTCTCCAGTGACCTACTATACACTATGGAGAGTGGCAAGCAAAGTGCCTCTGCACACTCTTTCAGTACCCATGGCTAGATCCCGTCTGGACCAACAGCCTTTCTAACATCCAGATCCAGCAGGTGTCTCTTGACCTCCTCTCTCGTAATTTCGAACTCTTCCAAGGCCGCCTGGTTTACTTCCTTTTCTCCTACCACAGTGACCTCACCTTGTTCTGTTGTGAAGACCTCCTGGAACCTCTTGTTGAGTTCTTCACACACCTCTTTGTCATTCTCTGTATACCTGTCCTCGCCTATTCTAAGTTTCACTACCTGTTCTTTCACATTTTTTTTCCTTCTGATGTGACTGTGGAATAGCTTCGGTTCGGTCTTGGCTTTGCTTGCTATATCATTTTCATATCTTTTCTCTGCTTCTCTTCTCACCCCTGACATACTCATTCCTGGTTCTCTGGTATCTCTCTCTCTCTGTTTTCTGGTGTTCTGTTATTCCGTTGTGTTGTTATTCGTTATTCTGTTGTGTGTGAGTGTGTGTGTGAGTGTGTGCGTGTGTGTGTGTGTGTGTGAGCGTGTGCGTGTGAGCGTGTGTGTGTGTACTCACCTATTTGTGTGTGTGTGTGAGCGCTTGCGTGTTAGCACTTGCATGTTAGCATTTGCATGTGAGTGAGTGCGTGCGTATGTGTGTGTGTGTGTGTGTGTGTGTGTGTGTGTGTGTGTGTGTGTGTGTGTGTGTGTGTGTGTGTGTGAGCGTGTGAGCATGTGTGTGTGCATGTGTATATATGTGTGTGAGCATTTGCGCAAGAACATGTGCCTGTGTGTGTGTGTCTGAGCGTGTGTATGTGAGCGTGTGTGTGTTTACTCACCTAGTTGTGTTTGCGGAGGTTGAGCTCTGGCTCTTTGGTCCCATCTGTGTGTGTGTGTGTGTGTGTGTGTGTGTGTGTGTGTGTGTGTGGTGTGTGTGTGTGTGTGTGTGTGTGTGTGTGTTTGTGTGTTTACTAGTTGTGTTTACTAGTTGTGTTTTTGCGGGGGTTGAGCTTTGCTCTTTCGGCCCGCCTCTCAACTGTCAATCAACTGTTTACTAACTACTTTTTTTTTTTTTTTTTTTCCCCACATCACACACACACACACACCCCAGGAAGCAGCCCGTGACTGCTGACTAACTCCCAGGTACCTATTTACTACTGTGTGTGTGTGTGTGTGTGTGTGTGTGTGTGTGTGTGTGTGTGTGTGTGTGTGTGTGCGTGTGTTTGTGTGTTTGAGCGTTATTGTGTGTGCGTGTACATGTGAGAGTGTGTGGAAAGCACTGATATGTAAACATTAACAGTAGTTGAATGTGTCGCAGTAGAGAAGGTGCCAGCAGGGCCTGGAAAATACAATACTCTTGCCTGCAGTCAAATAGTTGGTGAGGGGAGGCAGGCTGAGCTGGGAGCTAGTCAGTGTCCCTCGAGCCTCTTAGGCCTCACAGCAGATCGTCGTCGGCAGCCTGGAAATCGACGCTTCTCTCCCCTTCTTTTATCTCCCCCCCCCTCTCTCCCGCCTCTCTTATCTCCCCCTCTCTTCTCTCCCTCCCCTCCCACCTCTCTCCCGCCTCTCTTATCCCCACCTCTCTTCTCTCCCTCCCCTCCCACCTCTCTCCACCTCTCTTATCTCCTCTCTCTCTCCCTCTCTCTCCTTCTCTCATCCTCTCTTCTTTTCCCCCCTCTCTCCTCTCCCTCTTTCTCCTCTCCCACTCTCTTCTCTCCCCCTCTCTCCTCTCCCCCTATCTCAGCTCCCCTTCTCGTCTTTCTACCTCTACCTCTCTCTTCTTTCCCTCTCTCCTCTCCTTTCTTCTCTTGATCTCCTGTCAATCTCTTTTTTCTCTCTCTATCTCTTCTCTTTCTCTCTCTCTCTCTCTCTCTCTCTCTCTCTCTCTCTCTCTCTCTCTCTCTCTCTCTCTCTCTCTCTCTCTCTCTCTCTCTCTCTCTCTCTCTCTCTCTCTCTCTCTCTCTATTCTCGTCTTTATCTTTATCTGACAGAGGAGGAATGAGGTGTGCTGGTAGTGGGTGAATGAGTTCATACTATCTGGAAGACCGTATACATATATCAGAAACAGGTTGGCTCCAAGTACAGAGCCCTGTGGGACTCCGTTGGTGACATCTTACAACTGTGAGGTCTCCCCCTTCCACAATTACTCGATGTTTCCTGTTGTTTAGTTACTTCCCTATCCACTGGCGCCCCTTATCTTTTACTCCTGCCGGTTTCTCCAACTTTTGTTACAAGCTATTATGGGGTACTGTGTCAAAGAATTTCTGACAATCTAAGGAAAATATAGTCTGCCCACCATTCTCTTTTTTGCCTATTTTTTTAGACTGGTCATAGAATTTTATTAAACCTGTTAGGCACTATTTATCATCCCTGTATCCATGCTGGTGGTGTGCTACAAACATCATTCTCCACAGATGTTCTATGAAGTGTTTTTCTCACGATCTTCATCACCTTGCATGTTATAAAACTTAGGGAATTCTGGCCTGTATTTCAGTGTCTCTTGCTTGACACCCTTTTTTGAATATTTGGACTACATTTAATTTAGGACTTCAAGCTTTTTAGTAAGTCTCCTTTTTTCCAGTTACCTGTCATGCACCATAGAAGACATGCCACACTTAGTGCTTTTGCAGCTTATTTTACATTATGAGATTCTGTCAGGACCAACAGATTTTGTCACATTCAGCTCCAATAAATTTCTTTTGACCTCTTACTGGTAAGCTCAAATTCCTCCATAGTTGCTTGGTTTACTGCCTCCTCTCTCTCTGTAAAGAAATTTCTCCTTGCTCTGTTGTGAAGACCTTCTGGAATGTCTTGTTGAGTTCTTCAGATACCTCCTTTTCGTTCTCTGTGTATCTGTTCTCCCTATTTCTCACTTTCATCGCGTGTTGCATCATTGCTGTTTTCCTCCTCACGCGACTGTGGAGTAGTTGTTGTTGGGGTCTTGGCTTTTGTTTTCATAACATTTTCATACTGTCTCTCACCTTCTCTCTTCACTCTGAAGTACTCATTCCTGGCCCTCTGGAACTTCATTCTGCTCTCTGGTGTTCTGTTATTTCTGTAGATTCTTCATGTTCTAGTACTTAATTGCCCTGCTTCCTTACAAGCCTCATTTAACCATGAATCTTCTGTTGCTTTTCATTTTCTCCTCGTGGGCCGGGATAAACTTGTGTGCAGCCTCTTGGTACTTCTGGGTGACGTAGTCCATCATATCTTGTAAAGTCTTTTGCCTCAGTTATGTTTTTCATGGTATTCCCATTTGGAACTTCCTCATCTCCTCATAGTTTCCTCATAGGGAAGCAAGCCTTTTCCTTTCCGTGGATAGGTTATCGCCACCTCCACAAAATACTCAAATGTGAGGACACTGTGGTCACTCATTCCCACGGAGGCTTCAAATTTGAATTCCGTTATGTCTGACTCATTCAAGGTCAATATCAGGTCGAGTTTAACTAGTTCGATATTGCCTCTCATTCTTCTGGGGGATGAGGTGTGCTGAAAGTTGGTGGTGAATGAGGTGTACTGGTAATGGTTGTATTGTCAGTAGGGAATGAGTTGTGATGGCAGTGGGGATACTGCCAGTGAGGGATGAGGTGTTCTTGTAGAAGGTGTACTGTCAGTGGGTACATGAGGGTACTGGTGAGGAGACCATACGCACCTCCTCACTAGACATCAGCTGGATGACACAATGCTCCAGGTGTACAACTGTTGTGTCGTTACCAGTTTAGATCTTCGGTTTTGCGTGTAAACTGGTTATCATATACACACATAATAGCTTCGATATATTACGAATATTATACTAATAAAGATTTCCAGCGATCTCGTCTCTATTATGTTACCCGGGAATTTGTTCCATAAATCAACTACTCTAATTCCAAACCTATACTTACTCGAAATCTATTCATTTTAGAGCCATTGTTTAGTTTTAGATATTGTGTTGATAAAATAAATAATTTATTTGTATTCCTATTGTTAAGCCCTTGTATCCTTTTGTATTCTTCAGACATGTCACCCCTTGCTCACTGTAAGATAAAATATGTTGAATATTGCAGGGACAGAGTGTGTGCTCTACCAGGGTTGGGTGACGACCAGCTACAATGGTTCGTATTCCGACATTGTCAACCTCTACTGCTACACCGCTTATCACTATGGCTTCGATCTTGCCCCTGCAGCCACCTTCACAGCTGCGTCATATTACTCCTTCACGCCACCTGAAAATGCTGTTCAGGGATTCTACTGTGACCACATTAAGTACTGTTTTAATTCTTTCGTCCAAACCAACCCTTGGTGGATGGCCGACCTTGACTCGCCGAAAGGCGTTTCCAAGATTGTCGTCAAGACACGAAAAGATCTCAGGGACTTCAGCAACGTGGAGATCCGCCTGGGTAACACCTCGAGCTTCACCAGCAACCCGCTGTTTGCCTCGTACATGGGACTGACACCTACTCCCCTGGAGATCCTGGTTTTCGCTCCATCATCCCCCATGACAGGTCGCTACCTCTCCCTTCAGAGCATCACATCATCGGGAGCCCTTAATGTTTGCAACATCCAGATCATTGCTGCTTGAACACTGTTTTCTTCAGAATATTATATATATATATATATATATATATATATATATATATATATATATATATATATATATATATATATATATATATATATCTCAGTAAAGAATATCTGTATATAAATATCCCATTCCAATATTGGCTATCCTCGTGAATTACGCATGAAAGTAGGTTTTTGAAGGGAATGTAACATGCAATGTTAAACTGATCTGTAAAGAACAAATGCTTGCTCACTATCACCTCATTATGATACTAACAACTGTCATGGTTCTAAGTAGCCTATCTAAAAAGTAGTTAGGTTAATTGTGAATGTATTTTACAACGTTAGGGAGGTAAATATGTGGGGAAGAGGTCTCCCGCCCGGACAAGGATTCCCTAGAGATTCTTCGGTGCTAGAGGTTGCAGTTGGCACAGTAACTGAGACGGCGCAGCCTGTGAGAACCAACCAACACGAAGCTGGACAATAACGTCACGGAAGGAAAGCGCGGAGATTTGCAAGACAGATCAAATTATCCTCGAGAGTGAAGGAGGTGGCACGTCTGCCTACTGCCACTATGTCGCTAATGGACAGATATCGTCAAACAATTCCTGTGAGCAGGACCGACACTAAAGAAGATAAGGGCGGCATCCAATAGTGAGTGTAAATCCAAGAGCTGACCTTATTACAAGCGGTTTCGTCGGGACGATGCAACAGAAGCTATGACAGCAGAAAAGCCGCGACGACAGTGGGGAATGAGGTGTGAGGACTTGATGCTGAGAAGTCTTTTCTAATCAGGAAGGACGACCGTGCTTCAAAAGTATTGCAGCACCAGGTAGGGCGCCGAGCAAATGCATAATGAGGGATGTCACTGTGTTTTTCTGAAAAGTCGTTGGAAGCACTCGTGATCTTTTCCGTTCTAAAGTGAACTTGGGTTTACAGGTCAAGTTTATAATTTCGGAGTGTGTGGAACCATGGAAGATTCGTCAGGCGCCTCACCTCTCCATAACTCGCCCACATATTTTATATTCAGCTCGTTAGTGTTCAGAGCCCGCTACTAAACTTTGTCTCCAACCCAAGGTCGTCAAGGCAGGTTCGATAATAGTCAGTAGGCCTTTTCATGAATTTACTCAAAATACAATATACATATATAAGTCAAATTTGCAGCTCTTCACGATTAATAATCATCAGTAAATAAATTCCAAGCCTAACTTATCTACTCTAGCTAACCCTGGTCTCCTAGAAATAGTTATAAATTAAGCTGTTGCACCTTCCTCAATATATAAATTATTCACATCACCTTATAAATAGTAATTTCATAACTAAGATTTCGTCAATAATATTCTTTTTCTGGTTACTTATATCCACCTGCAGTTACAATATACACATAAATAAGTCATCTCAATAATAATGATGACATAAGCATTTCTGTATCTTCTCACCACAGCCTGACATGTTTCAGTAAAATCAACACAATAAGGTCATCATTATAGTTGATGACCTTATTGTGTCATCATATGTGAATTTTAAAACACATCAATAATTAAACATATACATGTAAATACATATAATTCAAGATGACTCCTACAGCCTAATCCTATCGGCAATCCCTCTTATATATATATTTATACATATATATATATATATATATATATATATATATATATATATATATATATATATATATATATATATATATTGAATATGACCGCATATTCTGTATTTATTATTTTCGAAAATAATAAATACAGAATATGCGGTCATATTCAATGAAACATGTTTGAAAGAAAACCTGCTGCCAGTATACACCAATATATATATATATATATATATATATATATATATATATATATATATATATATATATATATATATTAAGATGAATAGGAAAACCAGGGATATACTGAACATCTTGTTTCAGATTCTTTACTTTAAAATGCATAACGTTTCGAATACTTCTCGTATTCATCATCAGATCTAAAAGAAAAAACAGAAATCACAATCAAATAACTGGTAAACAAAGTACTCATACTGAATATAATTGCCTATCAAAGAAAGGAAAATGTTAAAAAAACAAAACGCTTAAGCGCACTTAAAGTGATCAATACAAATAAAACTTATTAACTGTCACATATATTAAACCTAATTTAAAAATCCATTAAACTACAAGACGAATTTTATAACTACTAAAACAAACCATTCTATTAAACTTACGTGAAGTGATCTGAAGTGAAACTTGATACCTAACACATAGATACTAAACACTATAACAAATATTTATATAATGACTACAAATCTACAAAAAATGTATATAAAATACTAACAGAATAAACGACAATTATAAAGTACTAACCAAAATCTTATAAAAAACTCAAATATTAAATAAAATTAAATACCAAAAGATGTATTATGTATCCTAAATAAAAGATTATATTAATGTACAATGTCAAGACTTGAAATAAGTAAGAAAGGGCAAAGACATGGTAAACTAAACAAAATTATAATAAAATTAAAGTACCAGAATGAACTATAAATCAAATTACAGGGCCTACTGTGCACTATACAGTGTACAATTGAACAGCTGAAAGGTTGCTATTTAACAGAGGCCGCAGCTCCTTTATATATAAGGATTCCATTACTCTCAAATCTGACTGGCCATTCATACAAGTGTCCAGAATTTTAAAATCAGATTCCAGCAGAGAATGATCAAACTCATAACAATGGTTTCTAATCTCCGAAAATGCGGGTTAGACAATGGTAATCCAGTCCTAAAAGATAATCCCCGGTGCTCAAGTATCCTAATCTTAAAGTTCCGAATGGAACTTCCGATATATCCAGCATTACAGCTGGAACAATTATACATATATACGACATTAGAGCACAGGAGAGTAGGCACTTTATCTTTAAATTTAAAATAAGAGCCTATGGTATTTGTGTTGACAAAAATAAATCTAAAGTCTACTTGAGGATAACAATGCTGCAACAGTCTCCTCAAACGACTCCTTACAGAAAAGCTAATAGTGCCATAAAATGGTAATTTAATATATTTAAGATCCCTTTCCACTGTAGTAATCCTACACGATGGGTGAAACTTCTTATTTAAGAAATTCCTTATAAAGGTATAAACCATATGCAAAGGATAACCATTATTTGAAAAAAAATTCACAATTTTAACGATGCATAAGCAACAGGGCATTTAACGATGCATAAGCAACAGGGCTCCATTAAGGAACATATAATCTCTTCCCACAACCAAACCATCGCCAGAGAAATCCTAGTAAACAACACAGAAATCATCGACAGATACAGCGATAGCAGATGGCTTGACGTTTGCGAGGCACTACACATTAAAAAGTCAACACCAGCAATCAACAGCCAATTAATGCACAACTATATTCTACCCACCTCAAGACTCCGCTCCAATATAGAAGCATCAAGAAATATGGACCAATAGGCTTTCTACAATCACTTCTATTCAATACCTTCTATTCGATTTGGTGAATCTGGTTGGAGCTCTGAGAGCAGAGATGGATTCCCTGTGGGAGGGAGGTACGACGGCTTAGACTTCGGGAGGAAACGAAGGAGGAGGCCAGTGTTGACGGGACCTCATTAAGAAAGACTGACGGGACCAGTTTTAAGAAGACCTCGTCTTGGCAAGTTGTGAAAGACAGGGGTCTTAAGAAGACCTTGGCAAAACCGACAACTAATAGCCTACACCTAAGGACTTTTAATGCATTTGACGTATTAGAGGACGAGTGCTGTGTTGAACCTGTTGTTCAACGAGGTGGCAAAGACAAAGTAACGAGGAGCATTGAAGCGCAGGCCCCTCAAACTGCTCAAAAGGAAAAGGGAGAATCGAAGCGAATTTTGGTTGTGGGAGATTCCCAGGTGAGGTATTTAGACAGAACGTTTTGTGCCAGAGATAGGGGGAACTTATTCCTATTACCATCTCCTTCGGTGGTTATAATAGGAGCTGCCTCGTATGGGCCAATAGGCCTGCTGCAGTTCTCATTACTACTATCCCTACACCTGACTTTCCTCCTCAGCTCTCTCTTGCCTATTTAATTCTTGTCCCTACCTGTCCTCATCACAATCGACTTGAGAATGGTCCAGGACGGACCGAAACGTCGTCGTCTCTTCAATTTCTAGTGTGTGGTCTGGTCATCATACTTCAGCCACGTTATTGTGACTCATCGCCTGCACTAGGGGGAACAGATTAAGGGTTTGCTATCCGGGAGCTGGAATTGGTGATATTGTTGGAAACATGAATGATATTATGACGGGAAATGGAAACAAACCCATTATTTGTATTAGTGCAGGGGGGTAATGATGTTGGGCGAGTTAGGAGTGAATAAATGGTCAAAATGATCAAATAAATGGATTTAAACTATTTCACACAGATAGATATATTAGACGAGGAGGTGGAGTAGCCATATATGTTAGGGACAATTTGAAATGTAGTCTCAAAGAGGGAATCAAAACTGAGCCACACACAGAAACTATTTGGATAGAATTAAACGAAAAAGCTAATAATATTATAATAGGAGTTATATATAGGCCACCAACTTTAGACAGAATGGAAGCAAAGCATCTATGGGATGAAATATCTAGAGCATCTAGATCTAACAGTATTTATGTCATGGGTGACTTTAATTTTAGTGGAATAAACTGGTTGAACAAAACAGGGAATAGTGAAGCAGAAGATTTTCTAGAATTAATTGACGATTGCTTTCTTACGCAACACATTAAGGAACCAACACGGGAAAATAATATTTTAGATTTAGTGTTAACTAACAGGGAAACACAAATTAATGACATCGAAATAGGGAGTGAGCTAGGGCACAGTGATCACAAAGAAATCAGATTTAGCATAGAATGGAATAGACTTGTATGAGAAAATTCTGTTAAAGTGCCAGATTTTCGAAAAGCTGATTTTAATAGCCTAAGAAATTTTTTGGGTCAAATTGATTGGAAAGTCTTGGGTATGGGGTGTGGGCCGGTCTTGGAGCGAGACATGAACCC